TCAGTATCCGGTGATGCAGTTTTATTCTCTGTCACGATTTTACATCTGTTATTTATAACTCTTAAGGACAGAATAATAACAAATCATATTCTTTATCTCTCAAGTATACTCGACTATTATTATCTTTCGTGAGTAAATAATACAAGACCAAATACTTTTGTCAAACACGATTGGTAATGAGTATTGAAGCATATTTCAACACAGCTTATCCTCCGTCGTGGGACCCTTTTTATTGGTCTCTCTCCCTTTGTTGTATGTGCTGAGATTGTCTCGATCGAATTCCCTTTTGCTTCGATACCTTCATGTTGTTCTTTTATCTCTTGTTTTTTATGACTTTTTCTTTAGTAAAAGCCGAAGAACATAATAAAAGGAGCAAAGTTTCATAAAAGATTATATGACGGTTTCCTATCATCGACACACGATAATATCCGTTTGTGGACGCCCTATACAAGAGAATGAATGAAGCAAATAGATTCACAGGGCTCAAACTGACAGAATAGTTTTGTTCATTCTGGTCTGCTATCGCAAGAAAGAGCGAGCGCTCGGCTCACTGCAAATTAGGACAAATAATAGAATATACTAACAGACCTGAAAACAAAGAATGTAAAAGCCGAAAATAAGTCCGAGATAAGTATAAAAGGATAAAACATGTTTAAACAAAACGGCGTGGAGACAAGACGCGTCTATACGAGATATGTAAGTTATTTCGTTTATTTTCCTTCTCGATTGCCTGAGATTGTGCCATCGGCAAACAAGAGAATATCGTGCAGTATTCATCGAGTGCAATGTTTGTTTCATCCCCTGAGTGGGCACTTTTGGCTAAGACGGGCGGAAAAAAGGTTAGGGGAAAAGGTTAGACTTTACGTGCGAAACTTTGGAAAATCAAAGGGTTTTAGAAAATTGATAACTTCCTATAAGAAAATATGCGCTTTTTCGTGCATGCATAGTAGATACCAGAATTCAAGACGAACATTTTGGCGTAAAAACGAGTTATTTCTGACTTTAGCTTAATCTAGCGATGCGATTACACTGCTCATGTCCGCTTCTCTAGCGTCACAGTTTCCCATCATCGTCACACGATAATATCTGTTTGTCGACGCCTACACAAGGAAAAGAATGAAACAAATAGATTCACAGGGCTCAAACTGACAAAATAGTTTTGTTCATTCTGGTCTGCTATCGCAAGAAAAAGCGAGCACCAAGCTACAATTAGGACAAATAATATGATTGTGAGGATATGATGCAGTATTCATCGAGTGCAATGTTTGTCTCTTCATCTCCTGAATTGGAAACGCTTGACAAATTGAACTCCATTTCGTTTTGACGTCGAGGAGATCGCTCGCAGATAGAACATAAAAAGAAATCTTCAGCAGAATCGTCGATATTCGAAAAAGTGAGTGTTCACATTTTCAACTGGAAACAAGTTACCAGCCATTTTGTAGTATTCTGAAAGAGGTTTTTTCTGATACATAATGTAGACAGCAAGCTAAGTTCATGGTGAAAAAATAGAATAATTACCGCTGACTGTGCTGAAAACGTCATGTTTTAACAGGGATATTCCAAAAAGTCGGTGTTCACAGTGTACATGACGATTGATCAATAGACAATTTTTTACGCCGCATAAAGCTGCATCGAATGGTATAAAACTGTTCTTCAAACTTGTTTTATTCTAAGATAAGTACCAAGAACACATAGCAATACGTTTGCGGGAATATTGTTCAAAGATAATCGATTTTCTTACAGATATCAGTTTTGAAGGAAAACCAGGGGTCTAGAACACCATAAAGTCACATGCTATTCCATTCTGAACACCTTTCGAGGAAAGTTGGAATGAGGCCGATTCTCGTTCTTATTGCACCTCGTCTTTTTGGGGTAGTGAAACGGTTTTCCAGCGAACTAATAGAAAACCGACTTTTGACAAATAAATGGAGCAAAAAATGGTTTTTGCTTATAAAAAGATGCTTTAAAGTTCTGGCTATCAAATGGTCAAAACCGCCAGTCTCTGTCTTTTACCATCTTTGAGTTAATCAAAGAACAACTACTTGCCTTAAAATAAAGTTCTATACACTTTAGCAGTGTCAATTATGGCCAAGTTTTTTCGTAAAACTTGAGCTATCGCGTCTAATCCAAAATCTTGATTGAAAAACATACGCACAATAGGCACCGATGTAGCCGAAAGACATAGAAACTTTCCAGTTCATTTACTGAAGCTCGGATAGATGTTTGATTTGTCGAACATAAGATTACTATGCATGTTTGTTTCCTGAATAAAATTTTTAATTTCTTGTGAAACAAAATTGCTGCAAATTTTCCAGTTCGGACTCGCCCAGTCCCTCGAGCCTTTTATGAACTTTTCAGATTCTCATAGTACCAAAATCTGTTTGTTAGGTCTGAAAATGTCTTCTTATCAGTAATTCAATATATTCTTCGATCAGCACTGCATTTGCCCGTAGATCTATGATAGAAACAGTTTACTGAACAAATAAATGTCAAATTCGGAATCAGCATCAAAACCAGGGCCGGGCAACTCCAGCTCCAGAATTAAGGATTTTTTTGGTGAGTTGGAGTTGGGTTTTTGAATTTTTATTCTCAACTCCGTTTTGCATGTTTGGAAATATTCGATAGTTGTAAAACTGATCTTCTAAAGGATTGAGTGGCTGTATTCACGAGTAAAGTCGGAAATTCTTTGCGCTTCCCTGCCGGAAAAAGTTCAGAAACGTCCAGAATCCTGCTAAAAACCGAAAAATCTTCCTTACAAAAGTAAAGCAACCGGAGTTGGGCGAGAGTTGAGATTTTTGTTGAGAGAGTTGGAGATTGAGTTGAAAATTTTTGAGCGGAGTTGGAGTTGAAAGTCAGCCGAGTTGCCCAACCCTGATCAAAATTACATATAATCAACTAGATTCCAAGCGAAAACAATAAAAGATTTCCTCTTCGAGGTGTCATTAGCCAAAAAATATAAAATATTACAAAAATACAAATTTAGTTATGAAGATGAGCAATAAAGAATGCAACGTAACTATGCACTCTATCAACTTTGTGTAATTTGGTTGCTAAACTTTGTTTGTAGGTTATTAATTCCTTTACTGTTGTTGCTTTTCCTTTATATGTTATTGAAGTATTATTAACAAACATTGCGTTTAATGACACACTTCTCCAAATATAACGGCAATTTTCAGTTGAATTATTAAAAATTTGTTGCCATTCTTCGGCCAAAGTATTTGGTGTTTGTGCCATCCAGTCCATGTGATCGAGTAAAACAAATCTACTAATATCTTTTTTCTGATGTTCTTTCAAGAAATTCGTAATTGTTGTGGTATGAATTGAAATTCTATCAATCAAACCATCTTTTAATTTGTTGAAATTTTCTTCTTTTAAAAATTCAGGACAACATTGTTTTGTATATTCACCATAAACATAAACACGATAAAAATAATTCGTTTTTAATGGTAACTCAGTAAAAACAGTATTTATAGAATTTCTAATAAAATCTCCAATTGGCTGTTTCATTAAGTTTTGTTGTACACTTGGGACTCCAGTCAAATGTGAAAGAATAAATGGAGAAGATAAAAATTTGTTAATTATAGGATTCCATAGCCTTCTCTGCACATACTTTTCATAAATCGTTTTCTGTTCTTCAATAGTCTGAGCATTAAACATTCTCTCTACATGTTTTGAAACACCAATCAACCACATGTACACACCAATTGTATAAGCGAACATACCAGAGCATCCTCGCCAATAAAAACTATTTCGGAAGCTTTTTCCATCAAAATAATGTTTATGAGAATCCCAAAAATTTTTTGCTTCTTGTGAAAGGTGCCTTCTTAAACGTGGATAAATATTTGTAGAAAATCCACGAAGTTTACCATGTCCCCAAATTTCCCAGAATGTTGGAAAATCTAATTCTTTAATACAAGCTATTTTAAGTTGAAGAATAGCATTTTGACAAGGATTTATATCGATGGCATAAATATGATTTGGTTTTTGAAGCACATACGTTAAAATATTACAACCAGCTGATGTAATTGCCATTATGTTATCTTTTTCACTTATTTCAAGAGCTTCAATATCCAAAAGTGGATCTTCCCAAACACAATTAAAGACAATTTTCTGTGAATATACTTTTGATCTAACAAATTCAAAAATTAAATTAAACAACCATAAGAAAAAACTACGAATTGTCGAGAGAATTTTTGTATGCAGGCTCAACATGATTTCGAAACTAATGGTTAATATGTGTTGATCTATCTGAAAATAATAGTCTAAATGTGATTTGATCAAGAAAATAAAATATACGAAAATAGTAAAGAAAATTATAATAACGTTTTATTGATGGCTAATCGTGGATCTATTCAATGTTTAAATTATATTCATTTGAAAAGAACTTGTATATGTGAAGAGAACAGCAATATAAAAACTTCCTTCTGACTTTCATCTTTTTTGTTTTTCTTTTTTATCACAAAAAAAGTTAAAACTTTTCACTTGGAGTTTCACCTGGAGTCATATTTTCAGAAGTGAATGAAAACTCAATGAAACATCTTTTCGTTGTTGTTTCAACTCTGTAACTATTACCGTTCATGAGTTTTCCACAAAACTCGGTTTTTCGTTGTGTCACATTACGAATCCCCTTAAATTTCATCCAATCGACCTAAAATTTTTACCAGAGGTACTTAAGGTAATATCGCAACGCTGTTTTCTGGGAATTTTTTTCAAGACCTGTCCGAATTATAGGAAAAAAACTGGAAACGTCTCAAAAACCAAGTTTTGGTAAAATTTGTAACTTGATCGGATGAGATTTAAGGAGGGTCGTAATATGACAAAGAAACCCAAAAATGTGACAATAATAGCAAAAAAATAGTTTTCGAGAAAAGCGCATTTTGTGCACAGGTCACTTTTTTCAAGGCATTTGCGACGGTGCTTGTATCTCCACGAAAACTCATTTCAAACTTCTGTTAGACGTGTCATTGTGACGAGAACACTTTCTTCTATTAGACTATGTGTAAGAAAAAATTTGAATATACAGGAAAGGAGAAAAAAATTTCTGAAACAAAAAAGGAGTGTTTTCAGGGCTTTGAAGGAAAAACCCAAGCAAAAAAAATGGAGCTAGAATCGGACGGTTGGAGCTAGATAACACGGTTTTCGACCCGGTTAAGCTAGATCCACCTTAAAGGTTTAAGCTAGGATCGGGCGGTTCAATCTACTTTTGGGCGGTTGGGGAGGTTATAAGCTAGGTTAACCGATCGCTTAACCGACCGATCGAGCTAGTTCTATCTTATCTAGCCCCAACCGCCCACTTAACCGACCGGTTAAGCTAGTTTCTGGCATCAAATAGATTAAATACAGGGAGGTTATCAGCTAGGTTAACCGCCTACTTAACCGACCGATCGATCTAGCTTCAACCGAGCAATTAACCGACCGGTTCAGCTAGTTCCAGACATGAAATGCATTAGATACGGGGAAGTTATCAAGTAGATTAATCTACGGGTAAACCGGACGGTTGGAATGCCCAGTTAACCGGGTAGCAAAAAAGAAGAAGGAATATGTGCCTAACGAGAATCGTCTTTTCTTTCTATACATGGCTAACGTTTGGTTACGAAATGAGACAAAATGGGTAATGGTATTCTCTTTTCTTTCACTACTTTCACATTCATGAATGTGAAACTTTTATTTCATATGCTTTAAAAATGTGTCGATACATTTAGCTCAGTATGTGAAAGGATGCGTCATGATTTTGGCAGAAGAAGGTAATAGCAAAGACAGACGCTATACTCGATAACAGGCTACTTGAGTTTGTGGCATCTTTTTTACATGTTTCTTTCACACTTTCACGAAAACGATTAACGCATAGAGATACAGAAAAAAAATAGATATATAACATGAATGAAAGTGAAAGTTTCATTATTCACTCTCCTTTCGTCCAAATGAAACAGTACTATATATAAACCAGAGCTCCGTATGGACTGGACTGGACTGGACTCAAATTTTTTGGATTTTTCATAGGCTCGGATTGGATTGGTCTCAACACGGAGCTCTGATATAAACACTACTATATACGGATAGCTTAACAGAAAAGAAAATAATTTCTATTTTATATTATAGAAAGAGAATCGAAACTATAACGTTAGTTATGCATCTCATCTCTACAGTTAACCAACCGGTCAAACTAGGTCCAGACTGCTCCAATAGTCTGCTCCAATCACGAAGGCCTTCGTGATTGGAAAGGATATAAAGAAGATTATTGCGTATTCTGCAGGTGTAAACAAACTATTTTGAGATACTTCAGCTGACTTTTGTAATAGTCTAATAATTACGGGAATTTTGTAAAATGCTTCGTTACGATGAACCTACGCTTGTATGGATGAACCTCCGAAAGAATTTTCGTATAAAACATGAATACTTTAGTATTGGTAGTTTAGTCTGATCTTGATTATGAGACAAAGCGGCTGTTTCTGAAAAGAAAATTCATTTAGTTTTAAGAATCGAGCATTGAGCAGAGTTTTAAAACCGTAACTTAAAAATTGCAAAGACACTTGAATAAACTTATAAATCAATTTTACTACGAATAGAAAGAAAGCAGAAAAGTACAACGTTTTGTAGATTCGAACCTGTCAGACGGTCATACTTTTCTGCTTTCTCGTATGTTCTCCTTTTTTCATTTTTGAGAGTTAAATCTGCAATATTTAATTTTCTAAATTCTGTGTGCTGGAATCAGATTTTCTGAAATTGCTCGTCCGGGTAAAAAACAGTAAATATTGTTTTTCATCCTGAAGATCTGTACACAGTTAAACCTAGCAGATAAAATCTAGGAAATTAAATTTGCCATATTTTTGTCTCTAAATTCACCTTTGGAAAACTGTTCCTTCATGGCGAAAACCTGGAAATGAGGCAAAAACATGGTATTTCTGATTTTTCACCATGAAGGAAGAGTTTTCCAAAGGTGAGTTTAGCGACAAAAATATGGCAAATTTAATTTTTTAAATTTTATCTGCTGGGTTCAACTGTCTACAAATCGATCTTCAGGATGAAAAAACAATATTTACTGTTTTTTATCCAGAAAAACGATTTCTGAAAATCTGGTCCCAGCACATAGAATTTAGAAAATTAAATTGCTACATTCTATGTTGCAGATTTAACTCTCAAAAATGCTTTTCTCAAAGAGAAAATATAAATTTCTAAAATATGTTTTGAATGATTTCATCACTCATCAACTACTGCATGTGTGCTTGGTAGCTTAGTTGATTAAAACGTCACGTGTACTTCTAATCTCAATTCCGAATGTGCTAGTCAGCGAGTTCGATTCTCGTTAGGCACATATTCTTTTTTTCTTATTTTTGAAGCTAGCTTAGAGTGCCCGGTTAACCGGGCGCTTCAACCACTCGGTTAACCGGGCACTTCAACCGCCCCGTTAACCTGTAGGTTAACCTAGTTAATAACCTCCCTCTTATCAAATATTTTTCGTCTTCGGATCTAGCTTAACCGGTCGGTTAACTGGGCGGTTAACCTAGATGTCAACCTCCCGTTCCTACTCGATTATGATAACCTACGGCTCGGTTCACTACTAGGCTGGAGCTAGGTAACTAGGTAAAACGGTACATTTAGCTAGATCCATCAAGTGAATAACCGCCCGGTTACGTCTGTGTTGGAGATCCACTCCATAGAGATATTTTGCTTGGGAACTTAAAAGAACTCATAACATTTTCAAGAAAGGCCATGGAATGCTGAGAGTGGTCTTATTTTGTAGCCCAGTCATTCCTCTCCATTAAGCTATCCTAAGCGTAAAATTCAAAATTTCAAAAAGCAGGGCTTAATCAAGTCAATTAACGTTGAAAATCATACGAAAAGGAGTTTTGCTTTCAAACAGTGTTCTGTTAGTCTGAAAAAGCAAACTTTGATCGTTCCGTATATATCTCATTTAATTCAAGAGAAAGAACTACTTCTGAACTAACATATATCTGCTACCATGTCGATCACTACCATTGATTGTTTCATAAATCTTGTTATTTGCTTGCTTGTGTGATGTTAATAGTAAAAAAATATTTTCAAATTCAACAACGATTCTTGCTTGTTTGCACTGTATTTAAGATTATCTTATCCTTTGATGTCCTTCAGTACATATTTTTTTCGCCATGATTTGGCTCTCACATTGTTAGAAAGATCAATAGTGAACATTTCTTATCTCTTTAAGTATTAATAAATTGAGGAACAGTAACATATTCCCTTTATTACTTAGAAGTAAAACGAAATCAATAATACAGTTGTGCCTATTCTCTGTTTTGAATGACGTGTGTAGCAGCTTGAACGACGATTACTTATAATTAATACTTTTTATGCCTGTTGGTAATTATATTTCTTTATCGATCGATAAACAATAATCCATTTGTTGCATATTTCTATATCTTTCATTTTATATACAAAAATGTTTGAGATGAAACCTGAAAGAAATAGAGTCATAGAACATATAAATTTCCATTCCTTTAGTGATATACGAAATTTTTCGAACTAATCATACAGTTCTTTGGAGAAAATGGGACTAATTAGCGCTATAGTTTGGTTGTTTAACGAAATTCAGACAATATATCATATTGTATTATCTCCTATATATGGAAATACACATCGAGAAAGATTAGAAAGTTTTTACGTTAGTCAAGCGAAAAACTATGATTCATATAGAAAAAAATTACTTTGTTGTAGAGAAACATTATTAAATAAAATACCCGTTGGTGGAATTTGGATTGATATGGGTGGTGGTACAGGTTTTAATATTGAATATATGTCAAAATTGGATAGATTAAAATATTATACAAAAGTTTATCTCGTAGACTTAAGCCCATCTTTGTTACAAGTTGCAATAAAACGAGTTGAAAAAAATGGATGGACAAATGTTGAAATAATAGAAGCAGATGCAACCATTTGGCAGCCTAAAGAACAGAAAATTGATCTAGTTACTTTTTCTTATTCTTTAACTATGATTCCCGATTGGTTCTTGGCAATTGAAAATGCTAAAAATATTCTAAAATTCGATGGACATATCGGAGTTGCTGATTTTTATGTTTCAAGAAAATATCCTGAACATGGATTTAAATCTCATTCTTGGTTCCAGCGTGTATTTTGGATGGTGTTCTTTGGCTTCGATAATGTTAATCTTTCAAGTGATCATCTATGTTATCTAAATAGTCATTTTGAAACCAATGAAATAATTGAAACACTCAGCTCAGTACCTTATATTCCTTTCTTAAAGTTACCTCAGTACGTATATATTGGACAGAATAACTCTAATTTATAGCGATACATATCTGTTTAACATTCCCTAAAATTTGCTCATATCAATGTTTGTTATGGACTGCTTGGTTGAAGAAGTGTTCAATTCTAATCATCATTACTCTGAAAAAAAGAAAAAATTGTCTACTCTCTAAGGCAAAACCATCGTTTACCCAAGTTAAACAAGATTCTCTTTGTACACATACGAGGATAGCCTTGCATTCAGACTTGTCTAAGCAGTATGAATATTTGACTTTATGCTTGAAGCACCGTTAGCCTTGATGATAGGTTCCTTACAAATTTAATATGGAAGCCCCTAAACTTTGAATGTTATGAATCAAAACACTCTTATTTGAATGTTAAGGCAATCTGAAGAAACATGCGGTAGAAGATGATAAAAGTCATATCAGCCAATGTTAGATAATCGAACCGCAAAGTTCTCATTTATTCGACGTAATACGCATTTTTATTTGTGGAAGTTTCAGTGGTTGGAATTACTCATACGTGAAACACTGTTCGTTTCCTATGACAACGGTGGTGATAAGTCATTCTTACTATTTGTTTCAGACCATATGAACAAGTGATAAGGTCAAAAAGAATGTATATGTTGCAGGAGAAATTAAAATCCAGTGGAATTTTAAATTTACCTAGAAGAAATTAAAATTTTAATTTTTCCTCGTGAAAATTAAAAATCAACATGTTCACAAACACGAAAATTCGTCTTTCGAGCTCAAATCTTAATTTTCTGACATCAGATGAAGGTTATGAACAATGATTGTGAGTCCAAAAACAACAGCTTGTGGGAAGAATATGACGTGTAAACGTTTTATGACTTGTACTCTAACTTATGACTATATTTTGGTCAGATAGAGACTTGTGGACTCGCAGTCATTATTCATAACCTTCATCGGATGTAAACACCATGCGCTTTTCAGAAAACTAAAATTCGAGCTCGAAAGCCGGATAACTGGCTTTTTGTGCTTGTGAATGTTGACTTTAATGTCTACAATAGTAGACATTAAAGCAAGCAAAACTTCTTAATAACGTCGATCTTTACGATCATTAACGAATAGTTGTTACAAGCCTAAATCTTTTACAGTCAGCCTAGATATCATTATAATTATAAGTGATCAGCGACGATCACTCATAATTATAATAATATCTGGTCTGACTGTAAAAGATTTAGGCTTGCAACAACTATTCGTTAATGATCGTGAAGATCGGCATTATTTAAAAAGTTTTGCTTGCTTATCGTTTGTACCTGTAGCTTTTGCTGCCGCGAACAAATGTCTAACCCCAAATATAGGAAGCAGGAATATTGAGAGCTTGAATGTCAGAGGCTCATCTGTCGTGTTACCAATTTTAGTTCGTGATCTGTTGCATCTTTTAGCTAAGTATGGAACTAGCTTTTTTAGCTCGAATATACATATAACACCAATCTATCTTGAAATGTTTCATTTTCAATAATTCAAATTTCAGACTGTACGGCCGACCTTTCGTTTCTAATAGGAAGACAGCGGTCGTTCACGTAGGATATGTTATATATTAGTTATAAGAACAGATGATCCCGATCCACTTTCTTCGCACTTTCATCACTTCCCAAGCATGAAAAATGTATCTAGTATCGGGCGATGCAGCTAGCTACACTAGATTCAAAACCCGATACAACTAGCTGCATAAGAAATGTCAAAAAGTTGTATCGCGATATCGACCGATACATCTAGATACATCCGATTCATTTCTAAAAGAATCTAGTTACAACTTTGTAATGAGAGCTTAATGCGATACGTACCCCAATGCAGCTAGATGTTATAACTAGATGTAATCCCAGATTCATCTAGTTGTTGTGGTTTATAGATTAGAAGAAAATGCCACTAGCTGAAGAAGTCGATATACTGTGCGATGGATTGGGTTAACATAAATGTTAGAGAGCAGCACAAAGAGCGATACCTCTAGCTGTAGTTTTGATCGATTCTGAGCACGATGAATCGGTTTTTGTACCTAACATTTATGTTGCCCGATGCATCGCACAGTATATCGACCTCTTCGGCTAGAGACATTTTCTTCTAATCTATAAACTACAGCAATTGATTAAATCGAGTATTACATCTACCTATGACGTCTAACTGCATTGGGATAGGTATCGCATTAAGCTCTCATTAAAAAGTTGTAACTAGATTCATCTAGAAATGAATCGGATATATCTAGATATATCTAACACGAATCTCGTGCAGTTAGATACGTCGTGCGGCTACGTTTGAATAGGTTTTCAAAATCCAGTTACGTCGGTCAAGTCATATTGGGAGGTTGTGAATCACGATAAAAGATCTTCTCTCTTTCGAAAAATCCAAAATCTACATATTACATTATTTCCTTATCAACTTTTCAAAGTTCTATCACCTATACTGAATTTTTTAAACGATGCACAATTCGATTCTCTACTAGGATACATTAAATTTGTTTTTTCTAAAATGTAAAAATAAAGAATCGTACAGATAATAGTAAGATACTCGACAATTCATGATTTTCAAAATCCATTTCCTATAAAGACTATACAAGCAGCGGAATGGATTAAAGTAAGTTTTGTATAACTTCGAGTATGTTCTTTCTTGTCTTATGTAGCAAGATTATGTAAGACAAAATTATGGTTTTTGAAAAATTGGGCTAGAAACGGTTAAAATTTATTGCAAAAACATATTTCTTTCTGAAGTAATAATCATAGAATAAAGCTACGTAATATGTAATAGCACTAAGAGTAAGTTTCTTTGGGCAAAACAAATAAATAGCATTTCTGCAGTGCGACAATTAATCAAATAACTACAAAAAATAAAACTTGCATTACTTCAGTAAACGAAATCTTGACCACAAATATACAGCTGCTTTAAGCACAAACGGTGAGATGATTTACTGATCAAACAGAAAAGAATGATGAAGTTCCTTTCTTTTTCTGAAGTGTTTCAACGTATCATTCAATTTATTTTCTTAAAAAATCGACGTTTACCATAACTAACTATCTTTGAGCAAACATCATGCTGTAATTTCAAATCGAAAAAACACCGTTTCTATGTTTCGAAGAAGATAAGTAAATTGGGAATTTCATCAAGATTATTTGTGAAGAGTCTGTACAATCTTCTTTTGTATTTAGCAAGGCATTTCCGAAGTTAATAGAATAAGACTGTTTATAGTAAAGTCATGTACCATGACTATATTATTACTCTATAATATATGTGTTAATAAAAATGGACAAATACATATGTATACAACGATATATATCTCATGTATCTGCCTGTCAAATCTATTTTCCCAACAATAAGCCCAAAGTTCGATATATGCGAGAAAAAAAACATTATATAATAAAATATAATAAAATAAAATCGTGAAAGGTGACTGACGCTCACACTATCTCGGAATATTGATACGGCGAAACCATACGGGACCGTGCCACAGAAGCTTCGCCGTACTGACCGAAATAGTGATATTGCTACATCCACAAGCCACCAGCGGTAACGAAAGTATTACGCCAAGGCTGCCACTATGCCTGCATTCCTTTGTTTCATCTTATATATTGAAACAATGGCTACAGGAAAGAATAAGGTGGATGACTTTTGTCCTCCCATTCTCTACTGATATCTTTTCCCTTCACTGTTGCAGAAGCCATTTTATTTTTTATTTGCTTATTATTTTGTATTATAACGTAATATAAATTAAAAAGGTCTAACAAAAGTACACAAAAGAGAGGACTTTTTGCCGTTGGCCACACATTCAGCAAAGAAAAGGATGTAAAAAAAGAAGTCAAATTCTGTTCACTTCTCAAAACATCTGCCAAACCTAAAAATGAATTATTGAGAAAAGAACCTTAAAAACGTGCCAAAAGCCTTATTTTCGAGTTTTATTCTTAAACATGTTTTGCCAATATCCTTTTGGGTCTACTTGTTTATTTCAGATAAAACATGACAGGAAGTAAAAAAGGAAAAAGAAAGTTAATTGAATCCAGTTTGTCAGGTGCACGTAAATTGGCGTGTTATTCTCTATTTCACTCTTTCCTACTAATTTAGGTTCCTCTCCCACAAAAAGAAAACATGGCTCCACTGCCAAAACAGAATCTGGTCGTGTCGTGGCCTGCGTCTGGTAGTGTTAACATTGTTCGTATTTCATATCTGAAAAACACTTCTGGTCGTATTATAATATCAAAAGATTATACGTTCATGTTTGAAGAAAGAGAAAAAGTCACGAGAAAGATAATGTATCAAGGTAGGAACTTAACTTATTGTTCTTCTTCCTCTCTTCGGAAAAGTAAAAAGCGGGTTTTTTTCTACTGTCATATTTTAAAGGAACAAAAGAAGAATGTGAAGATGAAATATTAAGCCTTAATTCATTTAATAATAAGCCATTATTATCACCACGGTTAGACTTGTCACAGTCAAGTTCACAATTGTCTTCTTCATTTCCAATTTTATCCAGTCAATCAGCGAGAAATTCGATATTAACATTGAAAACAAATAACGAAGGCAAGTTAGGCATGTTAGATATTCTGTACAGTTCTGAGTAATTCCCTTTTTTCCGAGAACGAGGAAAAGGAAAGAGAAGATAAATATCACATTATTATGTACAGTTTTGATCAACAGATATTTTCATACAGAAAGAAAGAAAAAAATTAAAAACAAATAGCTTTTTGGATTTCTTCTCTCTAATTTTGCACAAAGCTTGATTTTTGAGTAGAATAGGAAACAAGACAAAAAAAAACATGCGAAAGAGAACACATTGAAAGCAAAGGAGTAATTCCGCGTCTATGAACTAAAATCAAAGTTTTAATTAAAATTTAGTTTTTTCCGTTAGTTTTCTGTTGATGTTTTCAGTTGATGTTTTCCGCACTTTTTCGGGTTTCTGGAGCAAAAAAATATCCTAACAAAGAACAAAATCATTTAAAAACGTCCTCATTTTTTCTTTAGATTTCTTTAATTCACATATTCGGACTTCCTGACCAGTAACACTGTCGTCTTTCTTCTCTAATATTTAGATGCATGTCGTTCAAATGCAATATTTATCGACAAACTACCAGACCGAGATGGGCAACTCCGGGTGTAAGCCGCTCCAACTCCATACCGAATTAAAAAATTCAACTCCAACTCCACTCCGAGCCAAGTCAACTCCGCTCCAACTCCATAACCGAATTAAAGATTTCAACTCCACTCCAACTCCAAGTCTAGTGCTAATAACACCAACTCCAACTCCACTCCAACTCCAAGTCTAGTGCTAATAACACCAACTCCAACTCCACTCCAACTCCAAGTCTAGTGCTAATAACACCAACTCCAACTCCACTCCAACTCCGATTCACTAAATCGAAATTGAATGAATACTAAGTCTGAAGAGAATATTTTTATTATAAGTTTATCATCAATATTAATAATAATTAGTTTCAGAAGTTTTATTTCTTTGACGAGTTTCCATAAACTTTATAGATTTAACTCAGTAAATCAAGATTACACTTAACAAATGTTAATTTAGCTAAGGTATCTTTTGATAATCGACTTCGATGTGGTCTCATCAACAAACCACTTCTTGAGAAAACACGTTCAGAAGGTGCAGATGTGGCTGGAACACATAGTACTCGTAAGGCCAATCGATGCAAATGTGGAAAATGGTTGCTTTTGCTAAAAATAAGGTCACTTTCATAATGTTGGTCTTTTAAAAATAACATAATTTCGTCATTGATCTCTTGAATGGTGTCGATACGCGTTTAAATTCCTTACGTATAGTACATGTTGCAGATGTTTTACCTTTGAGATCACCAACATTATACTCCTTAAAATCATCATAATATTGTTCAAGACCATGTCGACCAATTTTTGCTTTTGTCGTGTGGGATGATTTGGTACTTTTTGGTGAACTCATTTCTATATCAGATGAAGACAGAGTGAGATCGACTGTTGGTGTATAAGATGATGAATCCATTTGTAGACAGATTGATAATAACCAAAGAATAGATAGGTATAGACAGACAAACACACGTGCAACAGATAGAATGATTTAATAAATGATCAGCATTCGACTGCAGGACCGGTCATTGTAAAATTTCTTTTCCTTTTTATATCTCTATTTTTCTCTCTTTCAGTGCATTTACTGAAGGCCATCTATGTAGTTTTTTTGTCATTCTTTTGCTAGTCATGAGATCAGTCGGAGTTGGAAAATAGTATCAACTCCAACTCCATCTGCACTTCACTCCAGGTCAAGGCAACTCCACTCCAACTCCATTTCAGAATTACAAAATTCAACTCCAACTCCGCTCCAATTCCTCTTCATATCAACTCAACTCCACTCCAACTCCATTTTGGAGTGTAAGAATCAACTCCAACTCCACTCCAACTCCGGGTAAAAAAGTGTCAACTCCGGAGTTGGAGTTGCCCATCTCTACTACCAGAGGAAGTCAGTACTGAATATTTGCTTAATATTTTCGAAACTGTTGGATAAATAAAGAATGCTCGATTGTTCAAGAATCCTGCTTGTGCAGTAATTACATTTGAAAACAATGGAAGTGTGCAAAAAGCCATTGAAATCTATAATGGTTTGTTCATTTATTTATTCTACTAAGTAACTGTTCAAATCAACATTTTTTGAAGAAAAAACTGTTTTGAATCTAGCTGCCTAATGAACTAGCTTGTATGTTCTAGAATCAGTGTTTTGCACCTGGATCCTCCTTTTATGAAATGAAATTTAGTAAAATATTAAAATATATTTCCTCATCCAGTAGCATCTTATCTGTAACTTCCATGTCAGACACAAAGTACAATCAACGATAAAAATATTTGAATGATAGAGAGCGAACAAAACTCTGATTCTAGCTCATACTACTATTTAAATCTGCAAAACTCAGTGCTTGAATTTACAGAAAATTTCGATTAAACATTTTATCGAAAAGGTTTGTATTTCCTGGTTATGATGACATGTTTTTTTTATGACTTCTTGCTTTAGGCAAATATGACTATGAATTACAATCAACGTTAAATATTAAACATGCAAAAAAGAAAACATCTGCCGATAAACAACAATCAGCCACGTTAAATAAAACAAATGAAAAAGCTTCAATTACCTCGACAACTATTACATTGTCGAATATGAAAGACGATATTTTGCCTAAAGCTCAAAAAGAAATTGATGCATTAAATGGTAACGTAGTTAAAGCTCGTTCTTGAGTAGCAAAACGTCTTGAGTTAGAATGAATGGAATTTAATCCAGGTTTTCTGTACCGATACTCAAAAGACTGAAGACAGCGAGTTGTAAGTTATGTAAAGTTAACTCCCCACTTTTTTGCGTTCATGACACTAAAGAGGTTTTGTCGTGGGTTATAGATGTGTTTGAAATAAAATTGTCAGTAAAAATTATATTCTCCGGACTAAAGCACTAGTGAATTGAATAAAATTCGTTTTCTAAAATAGAAATGTGTTAAGGTGCGCCAAATTCAAACTTCGAGCAGTTGATAGATTTGCTTTAAACACACATCATTCGATAGAGCTCGACGAGCTCTACAAGAATATCACCTTGAAAAAAATTCTAGACCCTTTCTTCAAGGAGAAAACCTTGAAATACTCAGTATGGGCAAAAGTGGCTTTCTGTCAAAAATCCTGTATAGTTATTTTTCTCCGCACTTCTAACACTTAATTCCTTCATATTTGGATTCTCCATGTCCGATTGCATATAGAAAAGTTATTTAGAGCTTTACCCCTTATGACGTGACCGGGTGAGAGATTTCACTCCCACTCAACAGGGCAACCTTGGCTTCCAAGGACATCAAGTCGGTGACATCAATAATCATAACCTTTGTTCATATCTCATTCGAATCGCCTTTTCGAGGGCTACAAAACTATGTATTACTTTCTCTAAGTTCCTTCTCGTCGCTGAGAAACGCCATTAAGAACAAGTACCCTCTGGAAATGAAAAAAGAGAGTGTTTGTCACTTGAAGAAGAAAATATTTAATTACAAAGGCATTTTTTGTTTCAAATTGTGTTAAAACTAGATACTTATAGGTAAAAAAGTATGCTGAATCCAATGCAATCATTTTCAGATTTTATAAGATCTTCAAAGGATCTTGAGAGGATCTTCAGAGGATTTTTCTTCTTTTTGTCACTCAAAGGAGTGTTTGATGACGATTATGTGCTGATTATGTGATTATGTGTGTCAAAGCTTGACACCGCGTTCGATTCGCCGGATTCTCCTCTTCAAAACTATGTCGAGCTTTTTTTCAAATTTTGTTTCGTTGCCGAGAAAATTCATTTTTTCTAAATCAGAGGCGAAAAAGTCGGAATTCGGCATGTAATTCTCAATTTTCTCGATCAGAAATCAACTTTTGAGCAATAAAAATATCATATTCGGAATCAGGATCAAAAACTGAGTCAACTGATGTGTATTTCTATCCTATCCGATTACTTTAATTTTTTTCGAATTTTCACGTTGAAAAATTACCGAGATTTTCACCCAAAACTGAAAATCAACCGAAAATTTCAAAATACACATCAGTAGACTCAGTTTTTGATCCTGATTCAAGTTTTTGATCCTGATCAACTGCTCGAAGTTTGAATTTGGCGCACCTTAACAATCAACAGTGTGCAGAATAAACCGTTATTTCCACCACGTTTATTAACAATTACAATGCATACATACGAACATTATATTTCTCAACGGTGTCAGATTCATGTTTCCCATAAGGATAACGTTGAACCATTCGTTATGTTATGTGCTACGGTTAAAAAATTACTCAGGCGGTCGGCCTCAAAAAAAGATAACTTTTCTAATGAAAATATCTCTAAAACTAGTATTCAATTCGGTTTTCAGTATTAGGCATAAATAATCAGTTCTTGTTTTTATTCGAAACCGTTAGAAAAGTTAGAAAAAATGAATGTTAAAAAATATTAAATTAAAACAAGACTACGATTTATCTTACTCATATGTTCAATTTGGAAAAACAAGAAAAGAAATTACTTTTTTACTTTAACAGCAAAAAATAATTATGATTATGTTTGTGAACTTACGATTTTTATTCAAATTGCTCTTCTTGCTGTTGATTATTATTTATCCTCAAATATTTGTTCGAATATATTCATCCTCACTATAAAGACGACTAATCGACAAAACAAAAGTATACTTGACCATGTGTACTTGATTAAAGACCCGTTCAGTAAAATAGAGCAAGTGGTACAGGTTACGACTTTTTGACAACCTATAACCTAACCTATAAAAGTTTTCACAATCTAAACCTAACCTACGAAACGCGTAACCTAAACCTAACCTAACCTATTCATGTTTTTCGTAACCTAACCTAGGTTAACCTAATATAACCTTTTGCAATTTCTTCCCAAAATCAGGTTTCAGAAGCCTAAACTTCAGCTTTCTTCCATATCGTTATTGTTTTTATCTAAACACCGCCTGAAAGGTAAGCTTATACAAAATAAATTACATTTTACATGAATATAGAAATGAATTGGTTGAGTCTTTTATTCTTTAATGCAATCTTTGGAAAATAACTTTCTGAACAGGGAAACCCTCTTGAGAGTAGACCAGAATTCCACTTTAGGCTCTCGATGCTACAAAGGTTCTGTTATTGTTGTGTATTTGTCATCTATTTTTAGCAAACGGAAGTTTTTTCTCTGTACTTCCTTTTTTGATCGTGCTATTTTTCAGTTTAAAAATGGCTCAGTTTAAACTAGAGAACCTCGGTCTGAACTTCATCCTCAATCGATAAAACTCCACTCGAACCACGCTTTATTACTCAAAGTGTTGGCTGTTTTAATGTGGGCGTTCAAAATCGGTTTCTTTCGTTTAGGTTAAAAATAGGTTATCAATAGCGTAACCTACAACCTAATCTATAAAAAATTTCATAACCTACCCTCATAGCTTAAGTTAGGTTATGTTTAACCTCCACGACTCTTCTTCAGCACATATTGAGCGGCTTTTATGCTCAAATATGACCTTTTCTCATTAAGTTGAACAGTTATTCAAGAATATATCCTGATTGCTGCTGAAGTTAGAGCTGAGAAATTTTCTAGTCATTTATGTAAGCTCCTGGATACAGAACTTCCTGGGGTCCGTATCACAAAAAAACTTAAGTCTTTGTTATTGTACACTTACGTGCTAATTTTATACACTTAAGTTTGACTTAAGTCTAGGTCGGTGACTTCAGTTTTTTCGTGATACGGCCTCCTGGGCTTAACCAAAAACAGAAAGCAGTTTTGAAATCGAATCTTGCAGGTGAAATGAGCTCCGTATTCTTCGCGTACTACAAATGGAACAAAACCTGTTGTTTTCATCGCCTCAGACTCTTGTACCTGGATAAAAAAAATGTACAATATTATTTAGGCCTCTATTTAACATCGACAATTTTAATATATCAAAACAAATGAAAAGATAATAATCCCCAGGTCAAAAATGATTAATGAGCAAAACTGTAGCATGTTCTAACTCTTTTTTTTCCGGCTAATAGTAGAAAAAAACGCTGCGCTAGATTTTATGAATTTATCGTCTTTTATTTGCTAAGAATTAAGACTAAGACTGTGTATTCACGAAAAGTGAGTATAATAGCCAAAATTGCCAATACGTCGTTGATTGCACATTGTTGCAAATCTCGGAGTATCTGGCGTTGATCATCTCTGAGACGATGATATGAATATGCCCGTGTGCCCAGTTCTCGAACAATACCATCTCCCCAATCAATTCATATCAATTTCTTGTCCAGAAATTACCTCTCTATAGCTGTGTCACTAAGGAGGCTGGCTAATTTTAGAACACATTTTTCGATTAGAAAAATTTCACATATTGATTTTTCAGATATGGGTGAATGTAAGCAAAATTTTTAATAAAACTCAAAATTCGGCCTTACCATTTTCTGCTTACTCTACATCCAAATCTAACTCTAGAAAACTGCTCTTTGGAATTTTAGAACTTGAAATGGGCTCAAAATCCATGGGACACGAACAGGATGGTAAAAGTTCTCTCCACCACTATTGCAAACCTATCTAGTCCCAGGATTTTGAAGATAAAAATATTTACTTTGCGTCATTCTAACCCATATACTTGTGAGAAAAAAAGTATGCATCGGCTTTAGAATAAATTAATTCTTTATTTTTTCAAAATTAAACATAACAAGGAGGAACAGCATTTTTCCTTTGACGATACATCTAACATACTAATGCAGTTGATAACATCGACAATATCAATAACCATATACATAGCAGATAGAACAGCCAGGAATCTGATCTTAATGTTGCCGTTTCTGTCATTGATTTGTTTAGAGTTAATAATGATTCGCTTATACTTGATTGACTTTGAATTGCTGTCGTTGCTGTTGTTGTATCTTCAACAATTTGAGTGTAATCATCATTGTCTTCATCTCTTGGATCCAAATCGAATCGAGCCGTCGTTTGCTTTGTTGTTGTAATGGACCAATAGGTTTTATCGTCGGAATCATCCATAACATACATTTAGGATGTCCATCTCTCTTTCATGACAACATAAACGATTGATTTTAGCGTTCGGGTGATTTTTCTGCTCTTTTAGCATCCAGAAGATACTAACTACAAAATCTAGTGTGATTTCTGTCTAAATTCGTAAGGAATCTTTATCATAATTTTTTAAATCGGGGTTGTTCATTTTTGGTCATTATTTTGTAATAATTTTATTCAACCAGCTCTTTTCATCTGTACTTGCTTTATACTACTATTTTTTTATTGTTCTTGGTTTGAGTTAAAAGAGGAAAATACCGTCAATCTCATTTGTTAGAAAATATGTGATCTAACAACATGTTTTTTCAGGTGAAGTACAAGTAGTGAGACTAACACAAGTAGTACTTTAATAAGACGAGTAATACTTTTCTTTCGATCGTTGTAAAGGTAAATATACGGAACGCTGAGCTGTACAGAAGGTTTGTTTTGATATTTCCATGTATTGACAGAACTCTTTTCGTCAATCCTCTTCCAAAAGGACAGTTCTAATTAAATGCTGTACTGAATAAAACTGTCTATCCATTACTTGTAGGTATCTATCTCTTTGAGAATTTTTTTCTTCTTTGGTGTCATTAATGCTTTTAGTGAGATACACAAAGTTAATGCCTTCTCACTCCCATCAACTTATTCTTGTAAGGCGAAACACGTATAGATTATCTGCCAATAAAATGGATTGCTACGAGAACTAACCTTTAATCTTAAGTTTAACTCAAGCTCAAAGTATCATTTTATATTCAACTTCAAAAACAAAAAAAGCTGTACCACAGAGCAGGTATGACATTTTCTCGGGACCATATAGTAAAAAAACTAATAAAGTAAAAATAAGTCAAATCGATATGGGAGTTAAGAAGATTGTAGGCAACGTCTTTAAGGCAATTTAGGTATCCGATATTCGGATTAACATGTATTCAAAATTCTGTAAATTTTCTCGTCATTCTCCCTTCCCTCATTTGATTGCGATTAGCCACTCGAAGCCGCACAATCCATGCCATCATACGCTATTTGTAGAACTATATCAAAGAAAAAAAAGTTTTCCAAAACATAACTTTCTTGCAGTGAGAAACTCTCGCAAAATTCTCATAGTTTTCTCTAACGGTCTTTCAAATGATTCAATAGAATACCGCTCAGTTTTTTTGTTATCCAGACGTTCTATTTGAATGTTAACATTATAGCCATCATCATTATACATTTCAGTTGTCGATCGAGCATCATTGACATATTCATCGTCTAATGGGTATGAATCGTCTTCGGTTGTTGTTGCTGTTGAATCGTCATTATACAAGGAATCAAAACACGTTTGTTTTTGATCGTATGATGTTGATTTAGCAAAACCTAACCGTTTATGTTCTAAATCAAATACTGAATAATATCGAGTTAAAAACGCATCGCCATAATATCCATAATGAATTGCTGTGTGAATTTGTTAGATCATAAAATATTGACACACATACATTTACATTATTTTTCAAAGATATTAAATATTGATTTGGTTGTAATTGAAATATTCGCTCATTGATTTGAAATTGAACGGGTGGTAAATGAGTTGAATAATTATATTGAATGGTGTACTAAATAATACAATAAAAATTAGTAATAATGATTTATGTTTCTATACTTACAAGCTCTCTGCGATAATCATATTTAGAACCAATAAATTTATTAATTTTGCGTATTTCGATCGAAGGACCATGGAGTTGTTTGTGAATGATGACGAAACCTAATGGATTGTTATTTTTGTCTTATGTAAGCGAGTTACGTATTTAGTAAATAAAAAGAAACGATAAATGTTGTTCCTGTGTCAGCTATAGCATAACAATTTGAACATATACTTTTATCACCTATATTTATACTAAAAAGGTACAAAAACAAATCTTTGTCAGTATATCATTTAAACATGATATTCACATGTAATGCAAATTCTTACCTGTAACTTTCATTTTACTTATCTCAGTCGGGAACAAAAAGATTCGATAGACTGACTCTTACTTTTGATGCAAAGTTTTTTTCTCTGATTTTTAGGAAGACAAAGGGATTATGATTACGGAGTTAAAGCCCTGTTTAAAATAAAACATTGAATTATGGAGTTTGTCATCCTTTTAAAATTAAAATAACCCATGGCTCATGGGAGAAAACCATGGTCTCATAATCGAAAATTAGCCGAAAGCACTAGCGAGTACATAAACTGGAAAGATTTGAACATAAAAAATTGACTAACAGATATGTTATTGCTCTAATCTATATTGATCCGATTTTCATTCACTCACAGAATAAAACAATTATTAAGAAGGAAAACAAGAGAGTTCTACTGAAGATACCGAGAAATATTCTCATCAGCATAATAAAAAGACAGATGAAACAAACCTTGAAGTTGAAGTATTCATTCAAAGACATACCTATCCATCAAGAATTCCCAATCTTTTTGTCCATGAATAATATTAACCCATGTTATTGTGCCTTCATATTTTGTTTGATCAATACCACCAAATATGAATTCGTTATCGTCTTCTGCTGTGTAATTCCTTATAAACAGCAGAAAAATAGTTCATTAAATTAGACACAATGAAAATGAATACAAACGCATTAAAGTAAAATGAAAATATTGGCTTTTCAATTAAATTTTGTTTCCACATATTATGGCATAATGATAAACGTATATCAGGTGTTGAACAGGACAGACCTAGAAGACCATCATATTTATCTGTTTTAAGAAATCTGGCATCATCAGCTTGACCAAATAATTGCTTTTCAATAGATAATGAACCAATCTAAAAACAACGACAGTGATTACAGTTATTATTTTTAAAAAGTAAAAGTCTTCAATCAAACAACACAAATTATTACTCACAGTTACTGTGTCGCTCACATAAATTCCGTTTGCATAATCTCGATCAGCATAATCGATTCGGAAATATTTACCATTTGTTCTATATGTTGATGAATTCAAAGAATTATATAAATTTCTATTGTCTAAACATGAAATGTACTTAAACTTCGTCTGTCACCATTACATCTAGTAAAGACATCGAATTAAGAAACTTATGAAAAAATACAAGGTGAGGATTCTTACACATAGTTGATGGGAGTGAGAAGGCATTAACTTTGTGTATCTCACTAAAAGCATTAATGACACCAAAGA